AGGGAGGGAGGGAGGGAGGGAGGGAGGGAGAGAGACAGAGGAGGAGGGGGGAGTACAATTTCTATTCTCTGTTCATTTACTGGAGTCTTCATAATTTACCGCGCAGGGAAAAATAGTAGCCTACGACGAGGAATAGAACGGAAGTTCAAAAATGGGAAGTATAAAATCGGGAGTTCCTTTGATGGCTTCTCCGGAAGGTAAACATGGATATTTTTTAGATTTTATGGACAGCTTGAAGCTTTAATTTTGGTACCTTTTGACCAGTATTTTTAGGCATTTAAACGGAAGGACATCATCTTATAGAAACTGCTGTCCGTGGACATTTTAGTGTAATGCTGAAACAGCCACGTCCACAGTTCTTTTACAGGCGAGATGTAAAAATCTAGAGACTAGACGTTCCAAGGGCCACGTCTTACTGGAGACAGTAGAGTTATGTTAACTGTGAAGCTGTGAACTTCATCAAACCGATTATTCTAGTAGGGAGTTGTTTTCCCCTTTATCCCGGATATGTCCTCAGTAAATACTCGTATGCACGTTTTTAGGATCACACACTAATTCAAAGGTTGCCTTGATAAAGTTGAGTAGGACGAACAAAGAAAAGGCCACCTGCAGTGATCATTTTAGTATAGAACATTCAACTGTTTTAAACCATTAGTTGACGGCAGACCATTTCAGATGGCGCACAAATTGACATTGTTATAAACAACCATAACAAAAATATACGAAACCCATCAAATTCAACTTGCTCATTATAAAACTGTGTGTGTAATGCCAAGACTATGCATTTTTACTCAGCGTGGTGTTATCTTATGCAAAAAGATTAAATAGTAACAGAGTTATAGGAACGTTCAGAATGCTTACAAATTGGTTGACAAAATTTGGTGTGTATAAACGTGGAATAACCTTTCGGTTGCTGAGAGTTAATTTAGCCCTGTAAATATGGTCAGATAGAGCACATCAAGACTGCAGTCAGAAAAATATGGACCAAAAAAGTACATTTTTAATCACACTTTGTGTGGATGAATTATTCAAGAACTTAGTCATGTATGTGACTTATCTGATGAAAGTTTCGCATAAAGTAAACAGCTTCGCCATTTGATTAATGTAATTACAGTAGCCACTTTTCAACATCAAGAGAAGGTTAGCATTTTCTGATGAAAATACTCATTAACAGATGTTGTTATCTTCACTTCACCAGCTTAATATTATGAACAAAGAAAAACCCTACGTAAACCCGTCTTTGTGCCAGACCAAGCATGGAGCACAATAATATGAGAGATCAGGGACTAGAAAGGACCACCTACGTGTTAGATACCATCGACGCTGTGGCAGAGAGAGTTCGTGACCTGTGGGAATCGCTACAGTACAAGGAGGAAATAAACTCCAGTGAGTTGAGGGAGACACCTACTACGAGAGAGTGGTCCTATACTCGCATAGACGTAAAAGTACATATGAAAACGTACAAACGTATACACTCAGATGAAAACACACACACACACACACACACACACACACACACACACACACACACACACACACACACATACAAACACAAACGCACATCGGCGTCTGTGATGCAGCGGTTTGGTGATTGGCCGTCACACGCAGCAGACCCATGTTCTATTCCCGGGTTGGGTAGAATTTTTATCTCGGTCTTTCTGCCTGGCTGTATCCCTCTCAGCCCAGGCTGGGCCTGAAGGCAGGGTCAAAGCCCTCCTCCTAAATGATTTAAATTATTTTTCTGGGGGCGAAAAAAAAACACCCACATCTTCAAAAATATTTCAATATGCACCCCTAACTGCTACAGTATAGACGACAGTGTCTTCTTTTGTCAGCTCATATTGCCTTATAGTGCAACGAAAGGCAGTGATTCCTCCTCTTTTGGCACAGAAAGAGTTAATATGTTAGGAGGATATTGCATCCTGCATACTCTTGTTGCATCGTTGATAAATTAGGAGTGGGGTTGGAGGTCAAAATGAGATACTCGCTTTCTAGACTTCGATCTATCAATAGATTCTTACTTTTAATGACGTCACGACACAAGTTTAGGCTTCAAAAACCTTCTAATGGTGGGCATATCCCATTCGAGGGAGCAGAAAATAGAAGTGGCATGCAGCATATATTGAGAGCTCTTTTCAAATTTGAAAGGAGGCAAAAATAAATTCATTGATGCTTTCACGTTCTCGTTGCCATGCCACAGTCGCTGCTCAGAGTAAGGCCAATGACAGCATTCACGCGGAACGAGAGAACAGAGCCTCAGCAGCCGGTCCCAGTTCAGAACCCAGCATGGGTGTGTGGGGCCATCAGCTGGTGAGTCAGTAGAAACCCTGCAATGAGAGAGATAGAGAATGCGTGAGTGAGTGAGTGATTGAGGGAGGGAGTGAGGGAGGGAGGGAGGAAGTAGGTTGGTGTATGGGTTTTAACACCCCTATCAATACTATTAGGTTATTTAAGTGACAGGACCTCCGAATTTAACGTCGGTCTCCGATAGGGTTGAGCCAAATGGCTGAGAGCCTTGAAAACTCCACAAAACAGCCGGAGTTCAAGAATGCCCAGTCAGGGATTCTTGTTCTTGTTCTTGTTCTTGTTTCAGGAATCAACATCCCTGCACTCCGGACATGTCCATTGATGCTCCGTTGCTCTCTCCAAAATGTTGCCGACGGTCCTTCTACTGATTGTGCCAGTGCACATCTGGTTAAACGTTCTTCTGTTCTTTCCTGCAAGGATGCCAGATTTTCCGCTTCCTTTTTTTATTCCCAAAAGCATCATCCTCTCCACGGCAGTACTGGCCTCTGCCTCCCTATCCTCCTCCTCAATCAGCTGGCGAGAGAGACATTTCAGGATCTCGACCCTATCTGGTTGAACCGTATTGTCAACTAAGGTGGCCTCACCAGCCAATCTGTCGGCTCTTTCATTTCCTCTAACACCTGCATGGCCAGGGCAGAAATTCCATGTGAGCGATCGTATAGGCGTTGGTTCAATAGCTTGAATCCATCGATCCTTCTGAGGGTACACATGGAATCAGTGATAAGAACAGCATGGGTTGTGTGGGGGCGATCTTGGGTCATCCAATCAAGTGCTTTCGTGATGGCTTCCATTTCCATACGCGTACTTGATGTAGCCCTGCTGCAGGCTCCAGATGCACTGTGTATGATTTTATTGTTGGCGAATGCAACAATTCCCCATCCACTTCTCTGACTATCTCTTTTCACTGAACCATCTGTATAAATTATAGGATCCCCTGCTTTTGAGTTTGTGTCAACAATCTCGTTGATATTGCTCTCGTTGATGGCAGCCACAACATTTCTTCTGTCTCTGCCCATGCTTTTTTTGACCTTGGTGAGGTCCCTGTATTCTCCGGCCACCTGTTCCCATTCTTCGCCTAGTGGTAGGCTCTCATGTACACAGATTGTTCTCAGGGAATCCTCTGCTTCCGCCATCCAAGATTTTCCTCTCTTGATTCTGCCTCTCCTGTTGCCATGAAGTGCTTTGTGAAGTGGATGATCCTTCTTGCCCATTACACTGAGATACATCTTTGCCTGAGCTATCCTATGGCATACTCTGATGCCACTTAAACCTAGCAAGTAGCGCATGCACAATATTGGAGTGTCCTTAGTGCAGCCCAGCACTGCTCTCATTGCCTCATTCTGCACTCGATTCAGCTTTGCGATCTGTGTGTCGGACAGCGTGAGACAGCCCAATCCGTAACCAATGACAGACAGGACGACCAGCTGCAACATCAGGAAGAGCCCTCTTTGCGGAATCAGAGCGGCCGCCATGGTCTTGATTGCACCAACACCTCATTTGGCCTTTGTTACCACATGATTCACATGCTTGTTGAAGGACAACGACCTGTCGAAGACGATTCCCAGATACTTCAGCTCTGACTGTCTGTCGATAATCTCATAGTTGCAAGTGATTGGTGGAGTTATGTCTTGGACAATCCTGTTGTCGAGGGAACACCAAAGTACCTGCGCCTTTGAAGGGTTGATAACTGCTTCATTTTGGTCGCACCATTTTACAACTGAGTGAAGTCTTTTCTCCATGTTCCTTGCCATCTGAAGTCTGTAATCTCCGTGCTCGTATGTCATTATGTCATCCGCAAAGCTCAGGACACGTCCAGATTCTTTCTGATGCATCGTTACCTGTGCAGTGTACACACTGAAAAGCACAGGAGAGAGGGGGGATCCTTGGGGCAGTCCTGGGGCAATTGATACCGGATCTGAAGTCCATTCACCCTGTTTCAGGGCCATTTTTCTCTCCACCAGGGCTACTGCTACCCATCTCACCAGCCATATGTTCACATCAAATTCAAGGAGGCGGTCGATCAAACGTTTATAGCTGACTCGGTTGTAAGCATCCCCAAGGTCAAGTGCCGTCACAACTGTTTCCTTCCGCTGCTGAAAGCCTTCATAGATGTCGTACGCCATGACAGCCGCATTCACTGAGGTTTCTCGATGGGGTCTATAGCTGCCAAACTCATTTGGCAACAGGGACTTCCTCTCCAAGTGTGCCAATATTCGTCCGGCAACTATCTTTTCCCAAATTTTCCCATAGGTGTTCTGCATGGCTATCATCCTGTAACCACCAAGAGCCGAGTGGTCTTTTTCTGGTTTGGGGATTGGTATCAACCAGCTGTGCAACCATTCTTTGGGGATTTCACCAGTGCCAATGATTTTGTTGAAGTCTTTTGTTATTCCTTCAATCATCTCATCATCTGCCTCTTTCATGTGGCAATATCTTACACCATCTGGCCCTCCAGCACTGTCCTTGGCATGTTTTATTGTTCTGGAAATCTCTTCTGTAGATATCACATCCTCGTAGTTTGCATACATTACTGGTGTCAGCACTCTAGAAACAGCTCTTTCAACTTCCTTTCTTGGGTCAATATTTCCCTGGTGTGTTTGATGAATGAATCGGTCCAAGAAAGCCCTACCTTTCTCCTCATCAGTTTGGAGTGTCTTTCCTGACTCGTCCTTCACATTTACGGTGGTTTTTGAGTGACCCTGTTCACACATCTTCTTTCGCAGTTTCCAGAACGTTGAGAGTGCCTTCTCAGCTGCAATGTTTTTTACAAACTCTTTCCACTTTGCTGTTTTGGCTAGATGTGCTTCAGCTTTAAACTTATCTCGGGCTTGCCTCATCTTCTCTTTAGCTGCCTCCCTTCCTTCCTCAGTGCCAATGGGGTTCTTCCTCTTTCTTTGCCAGTCCTTAACAACATTCCTCTTCTCTTTCCACAGACAATCGATTTCATTGCTCCACCATGGTGGCTGCGTAACGTTAGATCTTGAGGGTTTTCTGTTCCAGGCCTTCTTTCTCAGGCCTCCCAAGACCGAGGTGTCTGGTTTGTACTTAAACACCCTCTTGACCTTTTGTCTCACTGTCTTTCCACCCTTTGATATAAGAACTGAGCATGGCAGATGGTCGCTACCGTGATCTGCCAGTGCACTCCATTGTGTAAAAGTTTCGCCACCTGTTTTGATCAGGGCCAGATCTATATTGGAGTCCTGTTCACCAGTTCTTTGAGATAGTCTTGTCATGGTGGAAATGTTGAGCAAAGCCTTTCCCTGACCATTTTCGTTGACATTGCCCCAGGCCAAGCTTCTGGCATTAAAGTCCCCAACGATCAGGACAACATCTCTAAGATCGCACAGCTCATGGAGAAACTCCCAGTCATCTTCCTTAACAAGTTTTCCACCTCCGGCATAGAGATTGACAATGACCCATGACCTGTTGCAGATCGTTAGCTCGAGTGCTTGTAGCTCCCTGTCCTCCTTGTCCCAAGCAGAGACGTCTCTTATACGGTGCTGAATACCATTTCTAACAAATGTGGCCAGTCCATGATGAGCCCGGCTCATTGGGTTGATGTACGACGTGTACCCAGGACATGACAAGGTTTTAGCATTGGTCTCCTGCAGAAAAAAGAGGTCAAAGTCATAGGCGAGCTTTTCCAGCTCTCTTCCTCTTTTCCTACCACTGCGGCAATTCCAATAGCCAATGCAGACGTTTTTCATTTTGAGCCTGTCTGTTTTTCCCTGATTCCTCCTTTTCCTCGCCCTTCTTTTTCTGGCTCCTCCGCTCCTTCCTCTCCTCCTTCCTCTCATCCCCTCAGTCCTCAGCAACGATTCTGGAAAAAGCGTCGCCAAAGGAGCACGTTCTCCGTCGCTCCTGCGCCGTTTCCCTTTTAGATTTTAAATTTTTTTATTACTCATGTTTGGTTTTTCTAAGGTAGGGAAGAAAACTGTCACCCTGGCAGAGCCCTATACCAGGTAAGGGACAGGGGATGTCTTTACAGAGTCCATACGCCTTGCGCGTCCCTCTCGCTTACCAGACGCACACGTTAGCGACTACTGAGTCCTGTAGCCATTCATCCCATTAGCACGTAAGATTAGGATTTGTAAGGCTGATTGACCCACAGTCTTACGTCCCTTTGGCAGACGGTGAGCCGCAGGACTGGTGTTTTTTATCGAGGTATTGCTCCTCTAGATCCGTTGTGTTCTGTTCCTGAACCGCATGGTTTAGGTTAGCAGGTGACACCTCGGGAAGGATGTGGCTTATCGTTCACACACAACGGTCTTGAGCAGTATAGAGGTTTGCCAGATCAAAGTGAACTAACAGCTCGAGATGCACGCCACTACCACTAGATAAATCTAGTGGGACCTGGAGGAGAGCGGGGGAGCAGCAGGTGTGCTCACTGCCCATAATCCTTAACGTGTTCTGCCCCTGGGCAGCAGCCCTCGTCACCTCAGGGATTCAAATCAGGGCTATCCGCTCTGCAACTGAGATCATACCACCTGAGCTAATGGAGCGTTCAGAATCTCTGAAGGCCTTCCAGTGCCAGAATTGGCGATGGTGATAGAACCAAAGGTTTTTTCTTTCCTCTTTGTTTTGTCCCTAAGGGACCATTCACAAAGGCCGTAAGCTCAAAGGGTTTAAAGGGGAGGGGGGGGGGCAGTGTAAAGTTGACAAAAAATGACAAAAGTTGACATGGGGAGGGGGTAGGAGGTCCTGACAAAGTTGACGTCAACCATGATGCTCTCAAAGGTTGGGGGAAAGAAGAAAAGAATTATTTGATATTTGTTCCTAGCTGAGGTGATACTCCAATCTTTTTGCTTTGTTTATTTTCCAAGTGGTGATATCCAATCTATTTGTTTTAATTATTTTGACTGGTTAAAGATGTTAATTAGTTAATTTGACAGTTCAGGCATTTCTTTCAGGCATTTCTTTGTTGTATTCTTAAATAAACAATAGTTCTTTTAAAAAAATTTACCATAAAGACCAAAAGGTGTAAATATAAAATGCATCCTGTACAGGTGCTATCTAAATGGACATCTACATTTTGGTTGACGTCAACTAGGGGGGGGGGGGGGGTGTCTTGGGAAAGATGGCAGAAGAGGACATGGGGGGGGGGGGGTGTCATTTGTAAACGATTCCAACCAGGGTTCATTTGACCATTCTACCCTTCTCACTAACCCTTCCCGGTGTCCTCTTTTTCTTCTTTTTTTCTCATAGCCTCTCGGTCTCTTTTTCTGTTAATTTGTCTGTCTGTCTGTCTGTCTGTCTGTCTGTCTGTCTGTCAGTCAGTCAGTCAGTCAGTCTGTCTGTCTCTTAGTCTGTCCCCCACTCCCCCTCTTTCTTTTTCTCTCTTTCTCTCCCTCTCCCCCTCTCTTTCTCTTTCTTTCTTTCTTTCTCTCTTTTTCTCTCCATATGTATATACATGTATATTTAATAATAAAAATATTTTTACAAATTAATACAACAAAAAAGGAAAGAAAGAAAAAAAGGGAAATAGAAAGAAAGAAAGACGGAAAGAAAGAAAGAAAGGAAGAAAGGTGGAAAGAAAGAAAGATGGAAAGAAAGAAAGAAAGATGGGAAGAAAAAAATGCGTAGATCTAAATAATTTTTTTTAAGCGAATAAATAAAAATGTCATCGGAGCAGTCTAAGAAGAAGAAAAAGTACGTGGACGAGGAGATGACGAAGCTGGTGCCTGTTCTGGAAGGGGAGGTCAGAAAACTGGAGGACGCGGCTACCAGGGCGGTGCTGCTGGGGTTTATCAACCATTTCAAGGTCAGACAGATACCCGTCAGTTTGGGGTTTTATTTCGATTTTATGGGTTTTTAAAACATGTTTGTGTATTATTATTGTTGTTTTTGTTGTTTTTGTTGCTTTGTTTTGTTTTGGAAGTTTTTTTCGTTGCTTTTATCTTGGGGGGGGGGTAAGGTTCAATTCTTTCAATTTGTTGGTTTGTTTTTTGTTGTTGTTTTTTCTTTACTTTGTTATCGTTTGCTTGAGATCATTTTAATTAAATATTATTATTATGCTGCTTCTTCTTCTTCTTCTTCTTCTTCTTCTTCTTCTTCTTCTTCTTCTTCTTCTTCTTCTTCTTCTTCTTCTTCTTCTTCTTCTTCTTCTTCTTCTTCTTCTTCTTCTTCTTCTTCTTCTTCTTCTTCTTCTTCTTCTTCTTTTTCTTCTTCTTCTTCTTCTTCTACTCTCTCTCTCTCTCTCTCTCTCTCTCTCTCTCTCTCTCTCTCTCTCTCTCTCTCTCTCTTTCACTCTTCCTCTCAAAACATACACGTACGCATGTGCGCGTGTGCCCATCGAGCACGCGCGCGGGCGTGCGCGGGCACACACACACACACACACACACACACACACACACACACACACACACACACACACACACACACACACACACACACACACACACACATTCGTTGTGACGTTTTTGTCCGTGCCCTAACCCCAACCCACATTTTCAGCCACAAACTGTCACGTTATAATAGCTCTTTTCCCACTCAGAGACTGCAAGAATTTGAGCGTGAGCTAGGGCTGGAGCGTGACGAAGTGCTGGGCGAGATAAAAGACGGGCTGGTCACCACTGGACAGCAGGAAGCGCGCAGACCTTCAGTAACAGCGGAACAGCTCGAAGACGAAATTGGAGATCCGGAATTCCACAACCGGATAAATGGTAGTATCAACCGATTCCAGCAGTGGGTGGATTTGGAAAACCGGATGGAGAAGGCCAATGACATGATCAAGTAAGTACTTGGGCTTTTGAAATCTGATCATCTTTTTAAAAAGTCTCTTTCTCCTTTTTAAAATGAAATTTGCCGCATGATCTTCAGCAGAGATCTGGATACAAATTGTGTTCTTTAAAAATTTCCGAGAATATGGAGCAGACCAATTTCTGTTGTTATTGTTGTTTTATTCAATGTCCTTGCATATTTATGAAAAACCTAAAGAATACAAGTTAGTTTTAACACTGTTTACACCGTCATGTGAATATGCCTAGACTGTGTAATACCTTGAAAATTGGTTTTGTGGGGATGTTCTTCCTTTTTGGGGTGGGGTGGGTGGAGGTTGAGGCCATGTGATAAAAACCATCAACAAAATCAATATACAATAAATGAAACCTTATCAAATATGAGACCACAATCCTTCTTTGTGATAAACAACAACACAAAGTCATGAGCATCATGAAGCCGTCACCCTTAATTCCAACTCCAGGAACTTGGAAGGGGATTTGACCAAAGGCAAACTGGACAGAGAGAAAACGATGTCCAACCTGCGGAAGGAGCAGGAGAAGAAACGACAACAAGGCCCTTCTGGTCTTCTTCAAGAGGTCAAGACCAAATTAGAATCTGCGTACTTCAGGAAACTGACCGCAGAAGGTATCATAACTTTTATTAGAAACCCAATGACCGTTTTCGAAACGAAAAACAATCTATATACATGTACTTTTTTTCTTGTACTATATGATGCTGATGATGATGATGATGATGATGATGATGATGATGATGATGATGATGATGATGGAACCCTCAACCATTCCACTGTAATTTAAAGCGCCCCTTCACATCGTTTCTTCGTTTCTAGAGCAGTCTTCGGTGATCTCTAGCAGCCTAGCCATCATAGACACTGTGCAGAAAGAATCCGTCAAGGCTAACGCAAAGGGAGACCAGCTTGAGAGCGAGCTGGAGGACAAGAAACGCCAACTTGCGGTCCTCCGGAGTAAACTGAACAATCATCCTGGTTTGATGCAAGCAAAAGCAAACGAAACAGCTGAAAATGACATAAAGGTGAGATGATCAGTGCGTGATAATACCATAGTAGACTGCAGTATGACTCTTATAGCACCGTCTATGTGAAGATGGATGTAAACGTCTTCGTTTTGATGTTGGAAGCATGTCTGTATGACAAACAGATTTTAGTGAAAACATGGCCAAGTCTGAAGTGAAAACGTGTTGGTTTTGAAAACGTTATTCAGTGCTCCCTTTTGAAAATCGAAGTCGTTTCTTTCACTAACTGGCAGTTTTATGTTGTACAAGAATTAGAGGAACTGTTTCGAAGCCATAAATGTTTTGATTTGCTTTGTGAAGAATGAAAATTTTTTCTATCTAGAATTAAGAAAGAAAATACAGATCTTCCCATAAAGAAATATTGTACATCAACGAAATTACGGTTAGGGCCTGAGCAACGTCGCATCCATCATAATTGCTTGTTTTTCAATAACTCTAGACGAGCAGCATGCGTGTGCTTCCCTGTGATTCAAACAAACGTCCACAAATCAATGCATCCATGTTTACTTTCATAGATGTGGAGGGAAGAGGCCGATACAAACACCCAGCAATAATGTGTTCGTCTATTTCTCCCGCAGGCGATGCGGAAACGGCAGCTGTCCGGGTACTGCACCTCGCTGTGCAGCCTCCTGCAGCAGATGGAGAAAGGGAGCAGTCGGGCCCGGGACGACCGGGAGAGAGACCAGCCACTCATTAAGAAGTTGCTGCAGAACGTGATGGGTGTGTCTGACGCCCTGGCCGACCTCTGTGGGAAACTCGAGAACGCGGGCTTCGATGATCTGGGCGGGTGGGTGAACCCTGTGTGTTCCGTTCTGGGTCTAATATTATTATTATTTAATAAGGTCGTTGAAACAAGTATTTTATGTGTTTACGTGATGTTATTGATAGATAGCCTTTAGAAAGCATACAGTGCAAGCTGCCATTTCATAGGCGCTATTACACTACAAATGCAAGAGCGCTTGCATGGACACACACAATTTATGCAAACACATGCACACACTCACACACACACACACACACACACACACACACACACACACACACACACGCACACACACATCGGCGTCTGTGATGCAGCGGTTTGGTGATTGGCCGTCACACGCAGGAGAACCAAGTTCTATTCCCGGGTTGGGTAGAATTTTTATCTCGGTCTTTCTGCCTGGCTGTATCCCTCTCAGCCCAGGCTGGGCCTGAAGGCAGGGTCAAAGCCCTCCTCCTAAATGATTTAAATTATTTTTCTGGGGGCGAAAAAAAAACACCCACATCTTCAAAAATATTTCAATATGCACCCCTAACTGCTACAGTATAGACGACAGTGTCTTCTTTTGTCAGCTCATATTGCCTTATAGTGCAACGAAAGGCAGTGATTCCTCCTCTTTTGGCACAGAAAGAGTTAATATGTTAGGAGGATATTGCATCCTGCATACTCTTGTTGCATCGTTGATAAATTAGGAGTGGGGTTGGAGGTCAAAATGAGATACTCGCTTTCTAGACTTCGATCTATCAATAGATTCTTACTTTTAATGACGTCACGACACAAGTTTAGGCTTCAAAAACCTTCTAATGGTGGGCATATCCCATTCGAGGGAGCAGAAAATAGAAGTGGCATGCAGAATATATTGCGAGCTCTTTTCAAATTTGAAAGGAGGCAAAAATAAATTCATTGATGCTTTCACGTTCTCGTTGCCATGCCACAGTCGCTGCTCAGAGTAAGGCCAATGACAGCATTCACGCGGAACGAGAGAACAGAGCCTCAGCAGCCGGTCCCAGTTCAGAACCCAGCATGGGTGTGTGGGGCCATCAGCTGGTGAGTCAGTAGAAACCCTGCAATGAGAGAGATAGAGAATGCGTGAGTGAGTGAGTGATTGAGGGAGGGAGTGAGGGAGGGAGGGAGGAAGTAGGTTGGTGTATGGGTTTTAACACCCCTATCAATACTATTAGGTTATTTAAGTGACAGGACCTCCGAATTTAACGTCGGTCTCCGATAGGGCGGAGCCAAATGGCTGAGAGCCTTGAAAACTCCACAAAACAGCCGGAGTTCAAGAATGCCCAGTCAGGGATTCTTCTTCTTCTTCTTCTTCTTCTTTCAGGAATCAACATCCCTGCACTCCGGACATGTCCATTGATGCTCCGTTGCTCTCTCCAAAATGT